TCCTGAAACACATCAGATCACAACTTCTCTTTATAAAGGAGGGTGAGAATATGTCCATATTATGCTGTCCATGTATTAAAATCTGTGGAAATAGAAGAAACTAGCAAAGGTGATTCCTACCTGGGATGGGATAGGAATTAGAAGGTAGTGAAGACGCCTTCCATTCTTTTTATGCTTACAGATTTTTGACCACATGAATTTACTATCTACTAAAAAAAAAAATTAATTAAAAAATATTCTGGCTCCCATCTGAGTTTCAATAGAGTCCAAAACACCTGGTGAGCAGATCTTCCCAAGCCAGATCCCTCCATCTGTCTGGCCCAATTTCCTGCTACATTTCTAAAAGACATTCAGGTTCCAAAAACCATGTGTGGAGTGCTCAATAGGTCCAGGGATGTTGCTAACTGTAATTGTCGCAGCAATGATAAGTGGTCCTAGTATGCCCGCTGTACCAACTGAAATCAGGCTGAGCCGTGAAGTCATTTGCCCTAAATCTCACAGCACTGGTAAGCATTCCGATACCAGCTTTCTCATTCAACCAGTACGAACGTGTCGTCACAAGAGCATGACAGGAGATATTCCTGGCCTCTCTCGTGCTTGCCCCAAACCCCGAGAAGACTCACAACACTGCAGGTTGGAAAAGGAGCTCAGAGAAATGCCAGCCCGACCCTCGCCCCATGGGAAGGGCCCTGCTAACATGCAGCCTGCACGTAGGAAGCTCATACTTTGGAAGGCAGCTGTTTCTATGTTGGAAGAATTTTTCGATTTCTCCAAAACCACAGTGAAGTGGTTAGGAATAGAGTGGAGCCAAACCTTGGCATAGCCACTTCCTGAGAGTGGATCTTGATAATGTATCTTAATGCGTCAGAGCCTCCATTCCTTCCCTGATAGACTGGACATAAGACCAGTCCCCAAGTCCAATGCTTGGCCGTAGTGGGTATCACGCAGCTCAGCAGGTGCGGTGATTAATGTTATTGCTATCATGTGTCAAGGTGTTAGTTATGAGCTGATGTGCCTTCCCTGTTCAGGTTTGTTACCGTACCACATCGTGGAACTGTTCTTGTTCTTTGGCAAGACAGTGCATTTTCAAAATCTAAAGAGACAATCTCCTTGTCCCTCCCTCTCCATCCCAAAATTCTCCCTTCTCTGGCTGTGTAACACCTACCTAACTCAACCCTCACACACTCTCTTCCTGCACATGGTCCTGCTTATTCTGGCATGTAGACCATGACAAGCATTAAGCATACGGTCTGGTGCCTGGGAAGTCTGCACCAGTAGGGGTTTGCCAGCTGTGGGGCAGGATGTGCTGAGCTGTGGGGGCATGGAGGAACCTGCTGTGCCCCAGGGTGGGGGTAGAGGGAATCCACTAGGCTTTATCAGGGAAACCACTCCCCATGCACACACAGGATTCAGCTTACAGCTCACCGAGATCAGGTTTTCAGCAGTCTCAATAAGCAGCTGCCTAACTCAGTCTCCAGGAACTGGGCCCTGATTACAGGTGATGGAGGATCTTACACTTAACATTTGAAGTCCTTTGATATGCAACACTGAAATCATGTAAAAAGTGTATTTTCAAGCACTACTAACCACTTCTAATATAGTCTTAATTTTTTAGATCTTCCTTTCTTAACCCTCTGCTGTTTTTCTCTTAGCTTCTAGTGGAGCCAAAGGTAACAGAGGGACTGACTTGCTGGTTCTCCACCAATATAAACAACCGACTTGAGGAAACGCTGCCATCTGGTTTATTCTTGATGCAGAGCCAGCAGGGGGCGCACAGCCCACAGATTATCCTTTAGTTTATAGAGTCTGGCCAGCTATAGCCTACAAAACAGGCCACAGGTACACACAGAACATACACTCTTTGGTGACAATCTCAGGATGTGGGATCAGCAGGCCTGGATCGGAATCCCATTTCCAATGTCGGCTAGCTGCCTAACACTGGGAAGGCCACGTCACAGGATTAAGTAAGATAATGCACAGTGTTGGCTATGTCCACAGATGGTACTACTGCTGGTACTACTACGAGTGCTGCCAATGCTAAGGGTGGCAGAGTCATGAAGAAGTCTTCAGTGGTGGCAATGAAGACAATGTGTTAGGATGAAGAGTGAACTTCCAGAGCAGTGGTAACTAAGGGAGGCCACCTTGGACTGGGGCAAACTAGGCTCTCCTTTTGGCTTTCTTGCTCCTGCCTTATCTGCTGCTGGAAAATAGTACAGCGCAAGGTTCAGACCTGGCCACAGCCACTGACTATCTGAAGACAGCAATCTTTCCAGACCTCTCCTACAGAGTGGAACAGAATTATCTACCTCACCGGGCTATGATGAGGATAGAAGAAATCACTAATGAAAAACAGTTAGCACTGCACCCAGCGCATTGATTTATTTATTGGCTTTTTGCCAGCACTATCTATAACCCCATGATTCCAATGAGCCTAAGCCATTACGGAGAAGCAGGGAGAAATGTGTGCATGCCTACGTGGAGACAGAGATCTCCAAACACAGCGTTACATCTGTTTGGGGACCTTTAATTATTTGTCACCTTGTTGGCTTCCTTATCAAATTAACGTGCTTAATATTTGATGTTAAAGTTTTAAGCAGAGTACATCCACATTCATTTAAATGTCCCAGATGAATTATTTTAGGTGACTTTATATTTTCTTATAGTTGGAACCTTTCACATGCCACAAGTTTTTCAGTGTGACCTTGGTCCTGAAGTGCCATTACATGTTCACTGTAACAGCACCTCATGTTTGCAAAATAAAGTACATATTATATAATCTGACAAGCCGGTGCCTGAGGCATCATCAAAGTGCTGTAAATAATTTTGTTAATTCTCCCCCATTTCAATTCCTCAATCACCTTTTTCTCCTAGGGTTCCCTGCTTCCTCTAGCATAAGAACTCTCTTTCCGGACCCTCACATCTCCACTAAAATCAAATATACATACTAGTCACAACCTGCCGTGAATTCACTTATATACATTAAACTCATTTGTGTATCACTGCAAAATCAGGGTTCGTAACACAGAATGTTAGAAGCAACATTAACAAGTGAGACTGATGTTACATTTAGTAAAATAATTTCAGAATAGTGATGCAGTTTTGGTTGCCGTTATCTGATAGACATAACTTAAAACCATAATGTAACAAGCCAAAAGCATTAACATATGACATTTTCTGAAATTATATCTTTTTATTCTAAAGAGCAAGTACTTTTCACCTGTGCAGAAGGATCACCATTCCACATAAGCACTTAGCATCACCTCCCATTCTGTGTGAGTGTGTGTGTGGGTGTGTGCGTGCACTTGTTGGGGTGGTTACTGTTGTCGTCTCTACCTAGGAAGGAGGCTCCACTAGAATAAGGGCTGTTTCCTTTGCTGTTGAATCCCTAACACCTAAATCAGGGGCTGGCATGTAGTGTTTAAAAAGTATTTGTTGACTGAATTCCAATTTCTCTCAGTCCCCATCTTGGGTCCCCTAAAATATAATTACTTTTCCAAGAGGCCCAGGAATGTCGACTTGCACCGGGCCTTCCGTTTGTTTCAGGACCGTTAAAGTCATGAATTAGAGTCGAAGCTACAAAGCCAAACCTTTTCATTCATCAGGGAAAGGCCAATCAGGGAAAGGGCATTGCCATCACCCTTCCTATAAAACCACTCAGCTACAAAAAAAATGATCTAGTTGGCTTTCTCTTCCCTGTTTTCAATAACCTTATTTTCCTATACCTGCCTTAATAGGCCCAATGACCTACTTATATCGCCTTCATTTTCCCCTAATTTTGGAGCAGGCTCTATTTTTCTCCCAGCTGCCAGAGTTCACAACTCATAGACAGAAATGTCAGTGGCTGCACAGCGTTCCCCTGAGCCTCTGCTGTGGTGATGGCTGGTGGAAGCCTCTGCCCAGGGCGTCCCCCCATCCTGTCACCAGAGGCTTTCCACCAAGCTCAAGTGCAAATCCTCCCAGGAGAGGTCACCCGTGAGTGTTCAGTATCTGAATTATGCACAACAGATGGTGAAATCACTCGTGACACTTTTTCTGGTAACAGAACGAGAGCAAGGCGGCAGACGCACGGAAAGCATGGCTTTCAGTGGCCCTGGAGATCAGCAAGGTGGGTGCGATAGGGAGCACAGGAAGGGGTTGGTGAAGATTCCCAAAGACAAACTCACAATTTCTCCGGTGTTTGCCTTGGACTCGCCCACATGCAGATGCAGTGCTCATCCTCACAGCCAAGGAGTGGGAGTGAGACCAGGGCCTTGGGCTTCCCGGGGGCAGGCGCACATATGTATGGGAAATGATGGACCTGGCAGGGAGGGATGGCAGCACTCGAAGGGGGAGGGGCAGGGGGACATTGAATAGAGGCCAGATGCCAACTTTCTTGGTATTTATGATATTACAATGTATTCTATGTCCAATTGCTAAAGTACCATCTTGTTACTTCTCCTTAAGAAGATAACAACCTGCTATCGTGAGAAAACATAGCTGCTCTCTTGGAAAGGCAGTGTAGAATCCTGGCTAAATGTTTAGGCTTGAGTTTGAAAAACATAAGTTTGAATCTCTAATCCATCAACTATTAACAGTGTGACTTCAGGGAAATTGCTTAACTTCTGTTTCATCATCTCTCAGACAGTACCTACCCTTATAAGGTTTTGATGAGGGTAAAATGCAATTGTATATAAACAGCTTTGCTTAATACCAGTCATGTGGCAAGGCTCAATAAAGGTTAAATTTTACCAAATGCAAGAGCCCATTAAGGCCCTTCCCTTCAGCGCCAGCGTTCCCTGGAGTGTCAGGTCCAACGTATCCACAAACGTTCAGCTCTAAATTCAACATAGTTGTCAATGGAAATACCTTTTACTTAATTGAAAAGCTGGTTGGCTATTCCTTCAGGTCCACATCCACTCGGGTTATCTGTCAGGCAGGAGGGCAGGGGAAAGGATGGTGAAGGGGAATGGAAATGAATAGCAAATGCTGGATTTGTGGCACACCTCTCTGAGCACACTCACCGAGTCTGGGTCTCGCTGTGGTTCGAGGAAAGCGGAGAATTCCACCAGGCGAAGTTTGGTTGTGCCAATGGAGCGACCCTGCCAGGCAGGGACCGAGGGAGCTGGGGCTGATGTAGGCTCAAACCCTGAAAGACCAATCGTCACCTTTAATGCTGGCCATTTGCCTCCCCTTGGGCTGCAGGCCAATATGGGGGCAGGGCCCTACAAACAGATGACCCAGGAAGAAAGGCCTGCTACACCAGGGTCATGTGAGGTAGGGGTGAGACTCTGGCCAAGGACCCTGAGGCAGTGTCCTGATAAAGCGTGTGGCTCCCTGTAGTCACACTATGGGCTGTGGCCTGAGGACACTTACTCCTGGACAAAGGGGCTGAGCTGGGGGCCAGGGCAAGATGGAATGAATGCTCAAAGATATCCTGTGAGGTTGGCACATGCCAGACACTTCTTGTGTTTCTCCGCCTCCTTTCTTAAGCCTGCAGCCACCGGCAGTATGGAATATTCCCTCAGGGTGCTCCGTGGTGTTGGAGCAGAGGGCATAGCCTGGGGTCTGCAGAGGAGAGCGGCTCTACCGCTCATTCCACATGCACGTGTGTGTAGGGGGAGCAGACATAGGTTTTCTAGTGTGGCCTTCCATGGCAGCTCTCTTTGGAAGAAAGGGTACTAGGAATTGAAACCTACTTATCTAGGAAAGGGTGAATGAACCCCATCTGCCTTTAGGACCTATATTGCCCAATTTGGCCTGTTAATGATGGGGAAGGAACCACAGTAACTTCCTCTTCCAAGGATGACCAGGGTGCTGAGTGAAAGTGACCAGGCTTCCTGTTTCCTTAAAAAAATGCATCTCAAGAGCTCTCATGAGGTAACTGAGAGGAATCGCGGACCTGGAAAGGGACCCCCTGTGACCCTCTTAAGATCCAGACGAACCCCGGCCTTAAGCATGTGGGTGCAGAGAGGGCAGCCATGGCTCTGCAAGTCAGAGGGGACATGCAGCTGTGGAACAGAGTGAGAGGGAGCCCTCGGAGACTCACCTGGAATGGGGGCTGTGACCGCTGGCTGGATGGGGTAGGCCTGCTGCACGAAGGGCTTGACACTGGGGACAGAAGGATGGAGAGAGTTAGAAATGGCGCCTGTCGCAGTGGCTACACCTCAGTACTGGCCTCGGCCTCCTCCCCAGTGTTAGGTTCCCTGCCTGCAAGTGGGGCACAGCCTGTCAGAGCTCCACCAAGACTGAGAGGGTTACTCCCGACGACTGAGGGGCCAGCAGGCTGCTGGGGACCCACCACCAGCTTCACACCAGTTCAGTGGGAGGAGCTGGACATCTGCCTCTGGACATCTCATCCCTCCAGAGACCGAGGTTCCTGGTCACCAGCCCCAGGCATGGCTTGGGAATGCTCGCCTTCTCTAGGCTAAATAGCTCAAGTTCTTTCGAGAATATATGAGCTTGTCTACTGAGCCTGCTACCCTGGCCCTCAAAGCGTCACTGGGATTTTCTATTAGCTGCCATGCCACAGGGAAAGCCAGGGCAGAATGGGCTATGGAATCACCCCACTGCCCTCCCTCGGGCAGGCACTTTCTCAAGATGACCCTAGGCCAGTGATGGCGAACCTATATCAGAGGTGACACATGAACTCATTTTTTTGGCTGATTTTTCTTTGTTAAATGGCATTTAAATATATAAAATAAACATCAAAAATAGTAGTCTTTGTTTTACTATGGTTGCAAATATCAAAAAATTTCTATATGTGACACGGTACCAGAGTTAAGGTAGGGTTTTTCAAAATGCTGACATGCCGAGCTCAAAAGGTTCGCCATCACTGCCCTAGGCTTTGTCCTCGAGAGGCAGGAAGGGATTGGAATCCTCTTCCTGTTTTGAGCTACATGACCACTAAACTTAAGGCACAAGTGAGGTATTTACATGTCTCCAGGACCTGAGCAGTCTCTTTCCTATTGGCTTCAGCAGGTAACAATGAGGGATGAAGTGGGTGATCTCAGATTAAATCTCCTTTCCCTGCCCCTCCAAGCTCCGAGGCAGTTTGGCCCCAGGAAAACACTATCCAGGGTGGGCAGTGCCTAGGCCCTTATAGTCAATACTGGCCCCTCCTCAGACTTACTCTTGCGAGGATCCTGGCTGCCCTGTTTGTATCATTCCCGGCCAGAACTGGAAGGCAAAATGCAAGAGGCTTCAGGATTATGAATTCACTTCAAAGCACAGTTCAGGATGCGTGTGCATTGCAACCCCTGCTAAAGACGGTGGGTTCAGATCACCCGCCAGGTGCAATGACCCTCCCTAAATGCAGGTGTGGTCACTGCTGGGCAGAAAACTGCCGCCTATGTCCTTGGCCTAGCAACCCAACGCTCCTTTAGCTCCTCTTCCAGATAAACTCCTCTGGCAGGGACAGGCAGCAACACCTGGCAGCGATCTGAGTCTACTGCAGGGCCTTCACAAATATTTTCATCTGACTGCTCTACCCCTGCACCCACCCGCCTTCTCTTCCCTCTGCATTCTGAATGCTCCCTGTGTAACATGCTGCTGCCTCAGCTCACAGCACCGAAGGCCCAGCCAGGACGAGGACAAAGCTCAAAACAAGAGGCCAGCCAGGAGCTCCAAACAGCAGTGCAGACACCTCCTTTGCTGTGAGTTTTCCTGGGGCTTTTGGTACCTGCTGACTCCCTGCTGGAGGCAGCACTATGTAAAAGAAGTCAGAGAGCCCTGGGTTTGAGTGCTGACACCATGATCCATGTGATTATGACCACATTCCCAAGCCCTTGTTTTGTTTCTAAGTAACCTCAGTTTTTTCATCTGTAAAATGGCAATAACAATAAGAGCCATTAAGGATTATAATGAAGATTAAATGGGACCATAACATTTAGTGTCTCAGCCCTTGGTAGGTGCAAAATGAAAATGTTAACAGAATTCTTTGTTCCTTTAGGGCAGTGGTTCTCAACCTTCTGGCCCTTTAAATACAGTTCCTCATGTTGTGACCCAACCATAAAATTACTTTCGTTGCTACTTCATAACTGTAGTGTTGCTACTGTTATGAATCATAATGTAAATATCTGATATGCAGGATGGTCTTAGGCGACCCCAGTGAAAGGGTCGTTCGACCCCCAAAGGGATCGTGACCCACAGGTTGAGAACCACTGCTTTAGGGGCTAGCTGCCATAAAGTGACCCTGAGGACACAGGAACAGAGACCAGGGACTAGAAAAAAGAGCAAAAGAGGCAGATTACAGCCCAGGAGGGCACAGGAAAAGTGTTACTTGATTCTATGTCTTCAGGGACTAAGGCTCCCTCCACTCCCCCATCTCTCACTCCCTGGCTCCCTCCCTTTCTTCCTTTCTTTCGCCTTTTTGCACCGATCATCAGTTCCCCACAAGGTGGTTCTCTCACACCTGACCAAATCATAACAAGTGCCAGGTGGTCAGTTTCATGTTGGCCCATGGTGAGCCCATGCCTCCAGGGCCATCGTTTCTGGATGCAGCTGTGACTCACCCCCGGCGCCCCTGGGAAGGTGGGGCGTGGAATCCCAGGCAGCCCCAGCTTGTTGTGAATGGCAGTGGCCGAGACGATCTGGGCTGAGGACATGGCGGCCATGTGCTGAAGGGCCTTATCCTTGGCAGTCTGATCCTTGAAGGTGACAGTGACATACAGACTTAATACGTAACGCATGGCTACCAGGCAGCTCACACAGGCACAGCCACGAGCACATGGACTAAAATACAGAGCCACAAAAGAGGCCGGGAAAGCAAACATGCACGATAAATAAACACAGCCAGAAGGCCAAAACACACGGAGACTACTGCTACTCAGAGCGTTTACTGAGAACACCCAGTGGCAAGGTTTAAAAAATAAATTTTTTTGTTAATCTGTTTTCCAACAGAATGGGAAGCCTCTGAGAAGAGTGAACACTGTATTTATTTTTCCAGCTTCCAAAGGGAGACTTCTCCAATTACTTAACACACTCAAGAGAAAAAGGGCCCTGCTCTCAAGCATATAGATAGGGGAGGAGGGTGGATCTGGGATAGGGCCATCCAGAGCGTCAGGAGGCCCTGACTGTGTGTGCTAGCTATCAAGGGACCACAGTGCCAGGAGCTGCTGGAGTCATGCAAGGCCTGGAAGCCCTGGCAGACGCCTGGTCGGGGAGGCTCAGAAGCAGTGGGGCGGGGTGAGGGGTGGGGGGTGGGGAGGATGGGCAGGGCCGTGACTGATGGGCCAAGCAGCATGCTGGCAGGGCGCATGCTCTCTCAGGTATCCCACTGCGAGAAGACTACATGGGTTCCATCTGTAGCCAAGGACACAGGGGATGCTATCAGGTAAGTACTTTCTCCTTTTCCTAAGTGGGTCTTCTCTAGGAAAGCCAAGGCTGATAACACAAAGCTAGCCAAAAAGTCTGCCAAGCACAGCTAAAATACAGAATACTCAACTGGTGAAAATACTTACCATGCTTGTCACCTGGATACAACAATAAACAATTTGTTAAAAAGAATGCGTACAAAGGCAGGGTTATTTTTCTTCTTCAGTTAAAAAATATAAATGTATATAAACACACAAACCTGGGTTATAATAAAATGGGTAGGAATGTGGGTTGTTTTTTTCTTCACATTTCTGGAGGAATGTATGACCCACATAACTATCTAGAAGGTCAATTACCAACAACTACAACAATGAAAAAGTACCCCCCATCCTCCGAGCTGGTTCTGTGGCTCCCCCAGCACAGAAGGGAGAAATGGCCACAGCCCTGGTGGGGGACAGGCCCCAGGGATGCAGGCAGGGCTTCATGCTGGGTACACATGTCAAGGTCCCTGGTTGCTAGCAGGAAGTCTATAAATCTACCTGGCCCCAGAATCCATGAAAGTGGGAACAAAATGATGACATCAAAATAAAAAGATCGCCCTCCGCAGCTGCCATTCAGAGTTCAGACAGTGAATGAAGGCTGAGGCAAGCTTCGGGTAAGATGGAGTACCAGCAGAGAGGTGGCTGCACTGTTCACAGATTCACCCAAAGTGGGTGAATAAACATGCTGAGGTGCCAAAGGCAAGGCCAAAAGAAGTTAAAAAAATAAAAATAAAAGCCTATAAGATAATTTCTAGGGGCTTCTAAGAAAGACCAATTAGGTGTCCCCCAAGTCGGATAGACACAACTTTGCCCCATAACTGCCAGGAATATGAGTTTTCAAAAAGTTTATATTAACCCTTGAAAAAGAGCCTAACACTTGCATAAATTTTTATAATATTTTATCTGTTTCTTTGGCTTTCAACTGAAAAAATAATGAGGCTCATGGGACGGCTCTTTGGGGATGCACTCAGTCATTATAAGCATCTGTATGGTCATGTGCCGCAGCTGAGTAACACATGAGGACCCTGCAAGCTTGCAGGGTTACTGGTCCCCAATGGAAGGACCATGGTGACTAGAGTGAGGCTTTTTGCCACTCTGGTCAGGTGTCATTCTTCTTCAGATTGTACCTACATTTATTTATCTGCTGAGTGCCCTAACCTAAAGCTATTCCTTCGGTAACTTCTTAAAATCTGAAACGTTTCAGATACTAAGATGTCTGAAAAAAGACAAATCTTGAAGTCTGCGAAATTTTATGATAAACTGACTGGCTGTGGACAAATGCCCCAAAGCCAAACTGAGCCTCACGCACACACTGATCTCAGCCCCAGGCAATCTACTCTTAGCTGGCCCGGGTGGCTCACCTGCTACCTGCCCCATTACCCTCTCAGAGGGCGATCCGTGGGTAACAAACAGAAAACAGGGCTTTAGTCATGCTTACTCTCTTCTCTGTCAAGAATACAAACTCACTGGTTTCTCTTTGGGACAGTCAATTTGGACTCCAGTCCCCATGCCACTTATCCCTAATGAGAGGTTATAAACGCCCTCAAGGTGATTTCTGAAACTGAAGTAATGGCATAGGTATGCCCACAGGTGCCTTCCCCAACAGGGAACAAGCCTTAGCTTCCCCAGGGCTCAGGCTAGGGTTTCTGGGAAAATGGCAGCCCAGACTTCCTGCTTGTCTAGCTGACGCAAATTCGGGAAAAACTACAAAAGAGCCGTGGGCTTGGGTCTATTCCAAAAGTACATCACAGGGCTCTCTCCGACCTGAGCGTTCTGTGTTTACGGAATGCTGATGACAGGAGCTATTCTGCTCGCCCCAACACAGAGCGCGTTTGTGCACAGTTGGGTGGAGTGAGTCAACCACTGAAAGCCCAGGTCCAAGTGTAAGTGAGTTCCCTACATCTCCGTAGCTCACTCTTAATTCTAGTCGAGTTTGCTAGGCTGATTAAAAAGTTCCTCAAAATGTTCATGAGGAAAGTTTGATACTTCTTATTTAACAGGGAAATCAGGAAAGGAGAAATGTCACCAGCTTTGCTGTTTATGTCACAGCTTCAGACATGGTCTTTTTCTTTAGGTAAATAAAGTGGGACTGTCTTATTACCCAGCATGCCATGAGGTACCTGAATGAAACAAAAGTTCCAAAGCAGGAGAGCGAATTCAAATGCTTCCATCACACCAAGTTGATCTGTGCCAGGAAAAGGCATCCTGACCGAGGAGTCGGGGACCTGGCTCTCTATCTGCCTCTGCCTCATGTTTATGGGGTGCATTACCTTGGGCAAGTCACTTAATACTCTCCCCTTGTCTACAAAATAAAGATTTAAACTTTATTCTCTCAAGTCCTTCTGGTTATAAAGTTGAAGCTGTGAGTGTGAGTTCCATCATAAGCAAATACACTTTAATGCATATAACCAAAAAACTGCTAGTGAAAAGACAGCCGAATGTTAAAATTTGGGCAGGGCTTGGCCGCCTATTCTAATAGAGCGAAAGCCAAGTGTGGAGAGGAAATTGTATCTCAAGTAGAGGTTATTTCTGCACTTGACCTACCTACTTGAGAATAGGCAATTTTCTGCAAATGGACTACAATGTCTATACCAGTGATTTCCTACCTTTTGTGGTGGAAACGCTCTGATTATTCATTTAATTTCATAACATCTCTCCTTTATAGATGATATACATTTAAAAATTAAAAGAATGAAAATTTTTGTTTTGTTGTTTAAAATCTAAAGTAACCCTGCAGATAATAAGCTCCACCAGGGAAAATCAGAACTGAGAGCCTGGCTGCAAACCCACTTATCCTGAAATGGGAGGAAGGAAGGATGCCAAGTGAAGAGATTTCCATGGAGGGATCTGTAAATTGTCATTTTCGGCCGAGAGATACAGGCCTGGCTTTGAAGAAATGATAACTGTAAGTGTCAGGCCTGAGTAAATTGCTTCTCTGTCACTCTAGTCTAATATCCTGGACTTTTAAACATTCTACTCTATCCCTACTACTCATCTCCCTAGATTGTAGGGGGGAGGGTATGTTGCTAATCTACTCAAATACTGGAGCTTCGGTAAATTCAAAAATATACCCTACCTTTGTACACCATATTAATTTTATTCTAAAATGTTTTCACACCAACAGTTCTGGGACGTGGATGAGATTTACAACAGATGAGCACACTACTGTATCTTGAAAAACTGATACAGTTTTAAGTCAACACTGAGTTATCATCTATGATGTCTGAGGTTACGGGAAACACTCAGAGTGTGGATGTACATAGGAGCATGCATGAACAAGACAAATGTGTCCTAGGAAAAAGCTTCATACTGACACCTTGTTACTGATTTTGAGCCCATCTATCCCTAAGATGACAAAGAAAGGGGCCACAGAAAGCTCAGTATTGGGGGACTAAGAAAAGGTAACTCTTCCTTTCCAACTGAGCCCTAAGTCAAGCCTGTGACCTGGACTGTGGGAAATGTTTATGAAGCAGGCAGCATGGGTCTAAGACTGTTGGTGGATTGCTAGGATCGAATGGCCCATCTGAGCTGAGAAGGAGGGCAGACAAAGCACTCTAACTTGGGGTGCATGTCTCAGGACCCACTCCTCTCTCCTCCCTGCCCAACTGCTGGCACCCCACGGTATCAATGGCCTCACTACCCCAGCCACATGGGGTCTGGCAGGATGTGCCACTCAGAAACTCCTCAGCCCAAGCTTTTCACATCGTTATTGTTACTAAGCAAACAGACTTTCATATTTCACGAAGCAGAGCAAGGCTGCTGCTACAATTCTGGGTTCGACTGACTGCCTCCTTCTAATGGTTGAAAGTACGAAAATGTCTACATGTAATATACATGACGGGAAGGCAGCTGCATCACAGATGCACATATCGGGGTGGTGTGCTCCCAAAAATCAAGGACATTTTATGAACTGGTTTCTGGATAGTTTCTTTCTAGCATTTTCCTTTTAATCAGTTCCTTTCTCCTTTGCTTCTCCAGCTTCTTATTTTTCTGGGGAATCAATTATCTCATAATTCATAGGCATTAACCATAAACAAACAAAGATGAAGTACAAAGGTCACAGGCTTGCATGTACAATTTTATAGCTGTCATATATGGAATTTTAATGAACAGCCTTCTAGGCCAATATATTCCAAACACTTTATTCAGGGTCCATCATTTCAGAATTTAAGGACTCCAATCTAATTTATCCACATGGAAGTCTACCATTTTAACAGGAAAAATGCATACAGTTAAAAAAAAGACCATGGATTCAAAAACTCTTGATAGCTATTAAATGTTTCCTCCAAATATACTTTTCCCAGCAATATAAAAATATAGTGCAAGAGAGGAAAGACAGCAATTTGCTTGCAAAATCACTTTTGCAGAAAAAGATAAAACACAGAATACTTCCCTAAAAGTAATTTTGCAGATGCTGTTTCTAATCTTGCACTCTGTGAATTCGCATGACTTCTGCAATTATTAGCAGTAGCCCCTGAGCAGATAAACATCACAAAACTCTCTGAGAGTTCTGGAGAAAGGATGAAGGGCACTTGAATGCTCCCAGCCATGATCTCCAATTTGCTTATTATTAGAGGAAGCAGGAGTAAATACAAAAGGGGCTATTTCGGTCAGGCAACGGCCAATGCCGAGGAGAGAAGGCACATTCACACCCCTCCTGACTTCCCATGTAATGAGGAGCAATTAATTCATCTTATTGTGCTTCCAAATGCCAAAGACTCCATTCACATCAAAGAAAAATGTGTCAAGGCTTTGGCTATTGTTCATTTTTAAATGCACTGAGCTATATTTAGTATTTTATAATTGTCAATAGTGTTTCCTTTCATTCTGATATGGAGCTCAGCAGCATTATGGATTGCAGATGAGGATCCAGGTGATTTGTAGGTATGCCTGATGGTTCTCCCCCAGGAAGCCTGGGATTTAGATCAGTTAATGCAGATCTGGGTGTGGAGAGAAGGCCCCCTTCTGACATTAGCCCCTACCACTTCAGAGGTGACAGTGAGAGGCCGGGGGGTAAATCTTCCCTGAAAAGCCAGAGGAACCTAAGCAGGCAGCTGGCTCAAGTTTAGCTCCAGACTGAGTACCAACTCCCAACACTCACCTTTTCTGTTTAATTC